AAGACAGTTCTACTTGATGTTTAATATAATTTTTTATTGGGCTTCGGAAAAAAATAGGTGAGTTATTAGTGGAATTTATCTTGGTGTTTCGGTGCTTCTTGTTTCGAGTTAAAAAACACGGATGCTCAAAGTTATAGAGAACTGTGGCCTGGTGATTGTGGACAGATTGAGACCACCGACGATTTTGTCTTCCAGATTGAAAATGAGTAAAAAGTGCACTAAAGAGGATACTGATCTAAACGCATAGCCTCCATCTGATCTCAAAATTTACGACAAAAAATCAATTATAAAGTACCGTTATTAGCTATTCAGATACTATACATAATTTAACATTCTTACATCCTTTTCTTTGATTATAATACGTTAACTGTGATCAGTGGCGGTACCAGCCTCCTGGGACTGGGACAAAAACAGTGGTACATAAAAATAAAACGACGAGTCAAAACAAACAGAGGGCAGTTTGTCTTAATGGGATAACTGTTTAATTTATAGGGTTCGAACTCAACTTAACACCAAATATAAATTATGTCATGCATGGGAAATGGGGAGATGCACCGAACGAAGCATCCAAAATATCTTCAGCTCAATACAACGGAACATTATAAAAATACGTCAAAGTTAATCATTCTTGTCCGTTTATCAATATAATTTCAAGTTTAAAACATACTTATTTGATCGATTGTGGGTCCAAACGCTGTTTGGTTGATAAGCTAAAGGGAAACAGCCTGTAATCATATGGCCTACGTCGACTTAATCCAACTTACATCAATGGGGTAAGGACATCACGAAACTGACCCGGTTTTGACTTGTCAAAGATATTGTAAGATATACGACCAAATATAGTCATAACTTCTTAGTCGATCAGGTGTTTCATCATGTTCCTATTATAGTTACTGTTGGCAATTATTTGCATCTGGTTGAGTTTCTGGACAGTCGTTCAGTAAGAACATCAATCTGAAAGGAGACTCAAGTCGACTGATGAAACTGAGAGAAAATTGACGAACTATTCGGTCAAATTATCGGTCACAGCCAATCAAACCTATCGTATAATCACGTGATGAACAGAAGCCCCCCCAGAATAAATGTAAATAAATATGGCACATTCCAGTCGAAAAGTGACCATTTAGGTTAGAAAATGTCTTAAGACCACGAGAAATGTATACAGACGTATATTGTACAAGTATTTCAAAGAAGAGAACTGAGCCATTCACATAATTTAAGCAGTATAAGTGTCGCCGGGATGCTAGTGTCAGTAGTGAACGTGTGAATTTGGAGAAAATATTGCTGATTTTCTTCGGATAAAAAATCTGCTTTCATCCCAATTTGACGACCACTGCTGGAATCGATTGGGTTTTCACCAATCTTGCAACAGGACATAATCATTAGCCTAGACAGAGAGTCAGAAAACTAGCAATAACATATAAGGCAAGTGACGAGTTTTTATAGCAAAGTCAAGTCATTCACCAACAATCCACCATCTTTAATTTCACAAAAGAAATTAAGGCATCATGGTTCTGTTTTATCAAAAACTACTGAACAGCTTAGAAAATACATGTACCCTACAATAAAAAGAAATCATTTTCATATGTTATAGGTACTTAGATGTTTCTTCATTACATGCATATACTTGTAGTATTTAGATAATGTATAAATTTAACATGCAATGTTAATTTCTTTGTACTTTTTTCAACAAATTCTGCTCATTCATTTTTTACAAACTGCATTCCATGCATGTTGTTCATGCAAAAACTGGTAACATTCATGCTATATAGCCATATATATGTATTTCAAAATTCACATGAATATATATAAATCATAAATCATATGAAACAAGCTTACTATTGGTCCTAATTTGAAAACTATGTTGAAATTTTATGTTACATTTGTTATATCAATATAGCCTGTATTAGAATGGTTAATTTTATAAAAATTATTTTGAACTTGTTTGTTTTTAATTAATGAATATGCTTGAAAAACAATATTTTGTAATTTTCCTATAGAAGTATGTAGGCTTAGATTATAGTTAGGCCAAGCCTACAACCACTCTTTAGTCTTTTGTCTCTTTTTTTATTAATCTTATAATCCCTTCTTTCAAATTTCGCCTATCATTTATCATTAAGATTTCTTATAATTACATATCTGATAAAAGACCTTCAAGTAATTTTCACATAGCCTATTAAAATTATGGCATGGGACATTCGATTATCTCGGATACTAGTCTATAGGCTGTGTTTATCCCTTTCCTTTATGCTTCTTTGAAGATAACCTCGGATATGAGGAAATTACGCTGGATTTTTCAACTTTAAAGTTACAACTGCATATACTGCATATTAATATTTATTTGAACACAAAAGAGCAATTTCATATCCATAATTCATGTAAAGTCGAACTTTTAACTGCGAGTTAACCAAGCATAGTTTTACTTTTCTATCTGAAGCATATGTCTCGCGGTATTTGTTGGAGCGGACTTTAAACGATACGTGGGCACTGAATCGGGGCTAGTAACTTGTAAAATTTTAACCAATAACCTTTTTCTATTGCTGTGCTAATATCCTAATACCTTATCACAAATCCCATAACATCATTACTTTCCTGAACTGACAAAAAAGAATAATATTTGTCAAATATTAGGCTACATTTATATCTGTGATGTATTGACTCATGATGTATTGTACCGTGAATAAGTTTCTATACAGTGCACCAAGTAGTCACGTGACGCGCATTCATCAATAACGTAGTATAACATATACATTTACTAAAACAATACAAACTGTCGACAAAAACAATTGTTTATATTACATACCCGTCTCTGAATAAACCTCCATAGAATCCTCTTCCATGTTAGGAAATAATATGTTATATAATTATGTGTTAAGTCTGATTTTTTTACTAACGAATGAATGACTAAAATGGCGACAAAAGCGTGTTCAAACATATTCGATATTTTATGTCTAGACTGTATGTCGTATGACCACTGTATAGAAAGTAAATCTAAACGGATTCCTGGGCTTATGCCTTGGGAGATGTTTTTGTCCGAATATTTAGCTGAAAGTCCAGTTTAGATTTTGGAATGTCTCCTGAGCCAAAAAAAAGTGATGGGGAGTCTTCCTTAGTAATAGTGCTTACAGATTTACAGCACTA